CGGGGAGGGGCGGGGCTGGGGACGGGGAAGAGAGACCTAGGCTTGAATCGCCCAGATCCTGGCAAAAATGGTAGGGAGGGTGAGATGCTCTGCTAACACTATCAATTATGCATCGTGTTGAATGTGGCTTCAGGGAGGAGGCGGCTAGCGGGGGTGGGGATGGTGGTGGGGTATGGGAAGGAAGGGTACACGCAAGCCCGGCCCATCCCACTCTAGGTCTGTCTGCCTCCCTACCTACATTTGCAAAAAGAGTTTAAATGCAAAACACGACCCCCTTTCGTTGTGCTCCTTGCCTTCCCCCAAATTCCTCCAGGATGGTTTGTCTCACGTATTGCGGGGTGTGTAAGCGGCTCGGATTCAATTAACGGCGAAGCTCACGGGCCCTGGCGGACCCGCTGTGCGGGTGAGTACGCATGAATGTGTGTGTGTGCGAGATGGGGAAATGGTGAGTGTCCTGGGTGAAGGTGTGTGCCTTTGAAAATGTGTGTGACCGTAGTGAGAGCTCAACACATCGACGCGATTACTACATGATAGATAATTATAACACGAGGGAATGAGGGTCTGTGCTAATGTGTGTGTGTGGGGGGGCGATGTGATAAGGACTAGCGGTAATGTCTGCAGATGTGTAAATGTGGGGGGATATGGATTATGGGGTGCGGTGGACTGGAAAGGGCCCAGCCGAGGGCTGTGGGTGTGTGTGGGGGCCAAAAGTGTCTCTGCCAGGGTAGAGCCTCTGTGGCGTTAACAAACGTAGAGAGTGCTGGAGGTGGGAGAGGCTGTGCGCGTCCCCGCCAAGCCGGGAGCGCGCAGAAGGACTCATCAATCTGCAGCCAGGGAGAGGTGGAGGGAACGGACACGAAAGGAAAAACTGAAGTGGGGCTGCAGGGCCAGGGGAGACCCCAAACTTACCCGTCCCTCTTCCGTCTTCCCCACAGTCGCAGCAACAGATGTGGGAAGCGCCCTTGGGCTGTCATCGTCTCTGAGAAGTCAAGTCTGGAGAAGGGGTTGAAGCCCCAGGCAGTGCTTGGGGAGACAACAAATGGCAGGTAAGCCTCAGACTGCCCCACAACCTCCATCCAGGTGGGGGTAGACCCGGCCAAACTGGCTGTACCCAGTGAGACAAGGGAGAGAGGGGGAGGAGCTTTCCCCTGGGAGCAAAGGTGGAGTGAGGGGCAAGGGTTCCCAAAGATAGGGCGTCTCTGCAAACCTGCCTGGAGCCCTAGGCGGGAATGGCGGTCTGTGTGTAAGCGCATGTGTGTGGCTGAGGATAAGAAGGTTTTATTGGAGAGGGGGTTCTGGGGCATTCTAGAGCTGCAGAAAAGGAGCAGAATCTTGAACCTTCTCCTACTTAGCTAGTGTCCTGGGTGAAGGTGTGTGCCTTTGAAAATGTGTGTGTCCAAAAATGTGTGTGACAGTCCCCAGGACCCATGGGCTAGGGACCCCTCTGCTCCCTTGGAGCTGCCTGGGCTCTGCTGTAGGGTCACGGGAGGGTTAGTAATGTTCCTACAATGCTCCTGATCCATGCATACAGGAGGACCTCCTTCCTCAGATGGAAGGCTGTCTGAGCACCCCCAGTTCTCCCCTGACAGGAGCTGCAACCCAGAGCAGGCAGCTTAGGTCGCAGCAGCTGAGGGGCCTGCCAGCAGGCTTCCTTACAAGTTCTCCACATTGCTGATCCACTGGGATTTCGGTCTCAGTGGAGGGCTGTATGCAAGCGCCAGTGCACCCTTGTGTCCCTGTGTGGGGCTAGGTTTGCATGAGGGCTTGTGTCTGTGTGTCCTATTTAATTCCTACAATGAATAGGAAAGCATTTTGCACCGTTGTGGAGAACGCTATACAAATGCTAGGTTGGGCTGAGAGAACAATGAGGTCTCCTGTGTATATTGTGTTAATGTCTGGGTGCCTCTGTTTGTGTGTCTACAAAATGTGTTGTGTACCTCTAAATCCCTGCAGAAGTTGGTGGTTTGATGGTAGTGCCCCAGCGTGTTTGTATTGTGGTTCGCCTGTATGGGCGTGTGTGCAAGTGCTGTACATGGGACAAAGAGTACGAGGGAGGACACCGGTCACGGACAAAAATACCCTTTCTGTGTATCCCTTTCAGGGGATTAAACAAAAGCTTCGAAATTCAGTGCAGAGCCCAAGGCGATCAGCCGAGCCTGTGCAGAGGGACTAGGGTTAGGGGTAGATAGAGAAAACAGAGCAAGGTAGAAGGCCGCTGGAAAAGGAAGTCGGGGCTCCGAGAGGAGCAAGCATTGAATCCTGAGGCTTTTATTGAGCTCCACCCATGCCCAAGAAACGCCCCTGGGCATAAAGGAGGGGGGGGGGCTACTCTAGGCTGCTTCTGGGAGGCAGAGCTTGATAGGAGAAGGGAGCTGGGGCTCAGTGAGTCACCTTCTCCTCTCTTCCCCCGCTTCCACCTGCAGGATCCGCAGTGGTGCCCTTTGGAGCAGTATGGCTAGTGTGGGCTCTGCTAGGAGTGGCGGGAGCGTGCCCGGAGCCGTGCGCTTGCGTGGACAAATACTCGCACCAGTTCGCTGACTGCGCCTACAAGGAGCTTCACGAGGTGCCTGAAGGATTGCCGGCCAACGTGACCACGCTTAGTCTGTCGGCCAACAAGATCACCGTGCTTCGGCGCGGTGCCTTTGCCAACGTCACGCAGGTCACGTCGCTGTGGCTGGCGCACAATGAGGTGCGCACTGTGGAGCCGGGCGCGCTGGCCGTGCTGAGCCAGCTCAAGAACCTCGACCTGAGCCACAACCTTATATCCAGCTTCCCCTGGAGCGACCTGCGTAACCTGAGCGCGCTACAGCTGCTCAAAATGAACCATAACCGCTTGGGCTCGCTTCCTCGGGACGCACTCGGTGCGCTGCCCGACTTGCGCTCCCTGCGCATCAACAACAACCGGCTGCGTACGCTGGCTCCCGGCACCTTCGACGCGTTAAGCGCACTGTCACATCTGCAGCTCTATCACAACCCTTTCCATTGCGGTTGCAGCCTTGTGTGGCTGCAGGCCTGGGCCGAGAGCACTCGAGTCTCGCTACCCGAGATTGATTCCATTGCGTGCGCCACGCCAACCGCGCTGCAGGGCGTTCCTGTGCACCGATTGCCCGTCCTGTCCTGTGCACCACCCAGTGTGCGTCTGAGTGCGGACCAGCCTATCGAGGCGTCCGGCAGCCCCTTGCGCGCTGGCATGGCGCTCATGCTACACTGCGTCGCCGAAGGACACCCCACGCCCCGCCTGCAATGGCAACTTCAGATCCCGGGTGGCACCGTAGTCTTAGAGCCGCCGGTCTCGAGCTGGGAGGACTACGGGGTCGGGGACGGGGTAGAAGACCGGGAGGAGGGAGGAGATGGGGAGGGGCCAACGCAGACGGAGGCTCCAACTCCGTCTCCGGCACCAGCTTGGCCCGCGCCTCCAGCAACCCCACGCTTCCTGGCACTCACAAACGGCTCCCTGTTGGTGCCCCTCCTGAGTGCCAAGGAGGCAGGCATCTACACATGCCGTGCCCACAACGAGCTGGGCGCCAACTCCACGTCGGTACGCGTTGTGGTGTCGGCAGCTGGGGCCCCAAAGCACGCTCCTAGCGCCGGTGGGGACCCGGATGTGCAGGCCCCAACCTCTGAGCGCAAGTCCACAGCTAAAGGCCGGGGCAACAGCGTCCTACCCTCCAAGCCCGAGGGCAAAATCAAAGGCCAAGGCCCAGCCCGTGGTAGCATCCTTGGGGAGACTGAGGCGGGGCCGGAGGAGGAGGCAAGGGAGGGAGAGGAGGTGGAAGACCAGGTCTCTGCGGACCCGGTGGTGGAGCAGCGGTGTGGCCACGGGGACCCCTCACGGTACGTGTCCAATCACGCGTTCAACCAGAGCGCCGACCTTAAGCCGCACGTCTTTGAGCTGGGTGTCATCGCGCTGGACGTGGCGGAGCGCGAGGCTCGGGTGCAGCTGACGC